CACATTAAAAATAATTAAGAATATTATGAAAAAATATTTATGCTAAGAATCAGTTTACCAAGCCTTACTTTTATACAAAAGCTTACACTGGTAAAGTTTTCCAGATCCAATAATGAGCTTTAGAACTATGTTATTATTAAATGCTATTTTTACTTTTTTAAATTTGTGATAGTATTTTGATATTGTGGATGGAATTTGATTATACACTAATGCAACCTGTCTGAAAACAGCAATGTTTTAAGTAACATTGTAAAAGTTCAATAAAATCAAAGATCTGGAACAGAGAAACAAAATGAAAAGAACCTGACTATCCACATTTATAAACTATATTAGCAAAATGAACAAAATGAATGGTCTTTGGCCTCAGGAATTTGCATTCTGGAGATAGACAATATACGCTAATTAAATGATGAATTGTAATATGAAGTAATAGGTGGTTATAAAAAACAATGTTAGGCAAAAGGATAAAGAGTGATCTGGATTGCTATTTAGATATAGTAGAAAGGACCAAATATGTATTTAGACAGGCTATTGTGGGCCCTAGAATCAGTGACAGCCAGATTCAAATCATCCCCCTCCAAACAAACATAAGGAGAGGATTACCAGACAAATGTAATTTCAAAAAATGTAACCTAGCCTCTTCTTCAATCTATTTGCCTTTTCCTATGAGATTGCCAACCTGTGCTCTCTCTAAATAGGAGATGAGAAGTCTTCACAGTTTACAGGTTTTTGAACACAGTTCTCACTGCTGGGAATGTCCCCCTCCCCTTTTCGGTGCAAATGTAACTTCAGGAACACAAGATAAAGTCTTAAGGTTGATACTGAATGTTGATGAGAAAATCAGCTGAAATAAAATCAGGTGAGATTTGATTTGGACATAAATATTTCTTGGTTTGGTGATAAAATTCTAGTGCAGGATATGATACTGAAATGTCATTTCCTGTCCTGTAGGTACTTCAAACTTAATAAGCTCAAAAGAAAATCCATTATGTAAACCTTCAAATATATTCTCTCTCAAATATATTGTTCTTTTTGTGTTCCGTCATCTACTCCAAGACAGGAAAATGACTTCTTTCTATATTGTCCCTTTCCTCCACTCTCCAGAACCACTCCATGACCAAGGACAGTTGTTTCTGTCTTTAAATTATGCCACAGCATTCCTCCATTTCTCCCAGCTAATTCCCTAGATCTGATCACTAAATATCTTTCATGTGTAGACAAGTTAAGTATCTGTAACCGGAAAACCTAAAATCCAAAACGCTTCAACATCTAAAACTTTTGGAGCACTGACATGACATTCAAAGTAAAGGCTCACTGGAGCATTTTCAATTTCAGATTTTCAAATTAGGGATGCTGAACTGGTTAAGTATAATGCAAATATTCCAAAAGCTAAAAACATCCTAAATCTGAAACAGTTCTGGTCCCATGCCTTTCAGATAAGAGATACTCCACCTGTACTACAATAGCCTTTTATCCTATCTCCCTCAAACCTCTCCCCAACTCTAGCCAGAATAACCATTTTCAGACACATATTTAATCATATCACTTTTTTGTATATACTCCATTAATGAGTCTTCATTGTCCCCAGGTATAAAGTTCCAACTTCCTAACTCACATCTGAATGTTGGGAACAGGATTGGCCATATATACCCATAATTATTTAAGAGGTAATACAAAGAATCTTTTACACAGAATTATCTTTCTCTCTAGCTAGATATGATGCATGAACATTTACTTTTCAGATTTTTCATTAAAATGCAGGTAAAATTGGAAGGAGTGATGTCTCAGGCTACTGGAATCTTTTGTGACACAGTTTCATTAGATGGCCTAGCTTTCTGCTGGGTGAGATTTAGAATGGCAAGAGGCATTTCCAAGAAATGGAAGGCTTCAAGTAGAGCCAAAAGCAGCCACAGAAACACTACAAAGAGACTTGTTAACAGTCATGTTAGAAGCATGATTTTAGGAGAAGGAAGAGGAAAATGATAACAAACACCACTTTCTTGACACCTCTGCCCAGGAGGTAAAATTATCTGGTGACTAGGCACTCCCAAGAGCCCTGAGTTGGCACAGATCAAGGTTTCCTTCAGATAAATGTCTTTGACTATGATAATGATAA